ATCATCATCATCATCACCACCAATTGTAGTCCCTGCATCATCCTCATTAATACCAGCGAAATTATTGTACACTTTGACATGCCAACATTATCGTTACCATCATTATCACTACCGATGATATCAACATGAACTCTGCCACCACTATCATCAATTCTATTCAGATTGTTAACCTTTATTATACGAAAGTTCTAACCGTTTTTTTTATTGACAAAGGCACAATTGGTAAAGTGAATGTTGAGTGGAAAATATCTTCTACAAGTAATGCAACCAAGGGAACCGATTACAACGGCGACGGGGCCACATTTACATTTCAACCCGGCGACACCGAAAAAACAGCAACTATCGAAATATTAGACGACAATAAACCAGAACCAGACGAAGCGATTGTTATTGTGCTGGTCAATCCTACTAACGGCGCTAAAGTGACGAGCGGTCATGGAAACAACTTGACAATAGTCATCAGTGCCAATGATGTGGTGGCTGGTAAGGTTGGATTCAACAGAGAGGCTCAGTCAGTGGTTGCTAAGGAAGGAACTAATGTGTCACTTTTGGTGGAGAGGTCAAGCCCCGCTGCAGGCCGGGTTACTGTGTCGTGGGTTATCAGTGGTGGAAATGTGTCACGTGACTTTGATCCTTTTAGTGGTGACCTGACTTTTTCCCAGGTAAACTAGATATATGGTATTGTAAAAATTAGTTGAATTCGATTGAACAGACTTCTTTACCCTGTGCGTTATGTTTTCCTGTTTTAGACCACGTGTCATTCTTGAAAATAAGATACTCCGCTTGAGTGTATTCATATGCCCTCTTGTGCGCAATCGTTAAGCGAGAATGACAATTTTCTTGTCAACTTTCCAACAACTTCCTCCTATTTTGTTCAGTATCAAACAGCAGCAAACATTACTTTCCAAGTGACGGCAGATGCCAAGCCCGAACCAAACGAGGTTTTCACTGTCGAATTAACAAGTATTAAGACATATGAGATAGCAGATTCTGGAGCAGCCATCCTGAACCCAGACCAGACGACAGCAACCATCTCCATACAGGCCAGTGACGAGCCACATGGAGTGGTAGAGTTCAAACTAAGCTCTCGAATATTGCGAACCGATGAAGACAACAATGTGACTCTCATTGTGACAAGGCTGTTCGGTACAATTGGTAAGTGGTTATGGAATGTGTTATGGTGCGGACACACGGTGTGTTGCATGCGACGTAATGCGAGTAATTTCTACTTCTACGACGGTCGCATACTACATCGCACCGTGTGACACCCCAAAAAGAGCCTTTTTTATGCAACGTTGTGATGATGTCACATCGTGTGTCAACACCTTTAGAACGCTTTTCGTGTTTCTGCGACCGAGGCATCTCTAATCGCGACTCATGTACTTGTGTTTTGACTCTATTTCCTATACACGGAGTAAATTTTATATTGGTAGAAGCCGAAACCCAGACATCCAGACCATATGCACTTCCCAGAAACATTACCAAGTGGTATATGCGTAGACCTTTCTTAAGATAGCGAACATGGTACATTGTGGTCCCATTGTGATCATGACTTATATGGTGTTGCTTGAAGGACCTATTGATAATTGCCTCTGCTGTGCATCAATACTTGCCATGGCCTATGAATAAGAACCTTAGTTTTTGAATCAGAAATCATGAACGCCAAGATTAGCCCCGCGAGGATAGCAAGATAGTATTCAAGCAGATAGTATTCTAAGACTCGCTGTTCAACTGAGAAATATTTTCCTCCAAACTAAAGATGTTAATTTTTAAATTCCAGGTTCGATCCGAGTATACTATCAAATCCAAAATGCCAGCACCGCGGACATTACGGCAGACCAGCAACTAGCTGTATCAGGCGTTGACTTTACTGCAACTAATAGCTTTATCGATATAGTGAATGGGCAAAGTATGGGTAAAATCCCAGTGCATATCATCAATGAAAACCAGCCAGAACTTGATGAAGTGTTTATTGTGAATATTACTGGGGTTAAGCTGTTGGAAAATCCTCATAATACTAGTGGTGGTGTTCCTCGTGTTGGTCAGTACAGAACAGCTCTTGTGGTCATCAATAGTAATGATAATCCAAACGGGGTGCTTGGCTTTAGCAAGACAAGGTAAGGAATGAATGGCCAGAAGAGACTGATACTACCGCTGTCCCCTGTGTTTTAGAGTTTTTGAGGTAGGGGATAACCATATTTTAATTTTGGAACAACAAATTAGAAAATTCTATGCTTGGACTTTGTATTGAAGTAATATATGTCAGCGCTTCCTTCCCTCTTTCCTTCCTTCCTTCCTTCC